GTCCTTATAAAAGGGCAAGATACCCTCTGTAACATGAATCTTAAAAGGTATTAATAGAAAAAACCCAGAGCCAGACATTGGGGTGAAAGCTGAAAGATCAAGAAAGAGAACAAGACAGTCACGTTCTTACCCCTTCCAAATCCTCAGCCTCCAGAGAGAGAGTTCCTGTTTCCTCATGCCTTCTATACCTTTCCCTGCCCAGACATCACTTCCTGGGATTAAAGGTGTGTTTGCTTCCCAAGCAAAGGCATGAGATCTCAAGTGCTGGGATTAAAGGTGTGTGCCACCACTGCCTGGCTCTGTTTCTCTAATATAGCCCAGTGTGGCCTTGAACTCACAAAGATCCAGATGGATCTCTGTCTACCGAGTGATAGGATTAAGGGTGTGTGCCACCACTGTCTGACCTCTATGTCTAATCTAGTGGCTGGCTCTGTCCTCTGATCCCCAAGCAAGTTTATTAGGGTACACATTCTCCCTCCCTCCTTCCCTGCTTGCCTACACCCCTGTCCTCACACACAGACAGTGCCGTGTACAGACGTGGAGTTAAGACAGACATCTGTAAACTAGGAAGATGGACCCCACCAGAAACTGCTGTGGATCTGGGGTTGTGCAGAGATTCACCAGTCTGACTCAAGTTTTGAGTTTTAGTATTAATTAGATTATTACATTAGATGTTTTAGTATTACTAATTAGTAGTAATTTAGTTTCAGTATTTAATTAGAGACTTTATTAAATACTGGTGCTGGTTAGCCGAGGCACCAGGACTGCAACCCAGAGTGCTCCCCATAGATGCAGGATCTAGTCATATCCTAGGGCTTCTAAAGGCAAAAACTGCAAGATTACATGTATTTTGTCTAATTTTAACATGTATGTCTTGCAGTTGTCCCAGTCATTGAGCAGAGTAAGCAAGTTTGATTACAAAAGCAGAAACAGCAGTTAGTCTTATGACCATTAGAAAAGCAAATTTTACAAGATCAGCCAATTTTAAGAATAGTCTTTAACATCAGAGGAAAAAAGGAAGTGAGTTGCTAGAATACAGCCTGTATACATCAGGGGCTTAGATGTTAGAGGCATTTTTTTTGCTTTGTGGTCTCTCGAGCATAGTGTGTCTGAATGTAATGTTAACCATCACATTACCAACTCTCTTTCTCCCTTAATTTTGGCTTTCTAGATTCCAGAAGTGCTAGAAAGGCTATCTGTCATTAAAGCCAACCAACCTACAGTCTTTTTTTATGGCAGCTCCAGCTGACTAATAGAAGTTCCCAACATTTGAATGTAAAAAATTATATGAATGTCTTCAAAGTATTTATTGTATATTCACTACAGTTGACTATAGTTATATATGAATACATACATATTCATATATAACATATAATATACACACACATAGAAATTCAGTAATTCTTTAGGATATTACCAATAGTAATAATATGTGACTATTTGATATTTGAGAGAGGGAAGTAATTTCTTATTTAGCCTGCAGATAATGCTAATCTGTTCTCACAGTCAATTCCCTTACAATTATATCTCCATAGAACTCCTGGCATGCTCAGTCTTTGAGATAAGAATCCTCTACTCCCAGCCTCTTCTGAGTCCAATTATATTAGCATTGCCTGCCTAAGCCCCGCTTTCATAGCTCTCTCCTTGACCGAGGACATGACACTCATAGAATAACTTGTGTCAGTCACTGTTAGAAGAAACCTTCTAGTTATAGGCGTAGGCAGGAAAGAGTTTGAGCCAGGAAAGAGTCATAGTATTAAAAGCAGACTGACCTGCCACTATCTACCTTATCACATATAGGTCTTATTTGCTACAGACTGGAAGATCACAGGACGGAGGGACAATTTCTTCATTTTAGATCAGTGGTTCTCAGCCTTCCTAATGCTTCCTCATGTTGTGGTGACCCCCAAGCATAGAATTATTCCATTGCTACTTCATATGGGTTGTAATGGTGCAGCTCTACCCAATGTGCCTCTCACATTCTTCTATCAGGCTAGACTATCATGTGGTTTCAATAGCAGACCTCCTACTGTGGTTGACATATTGTGCACCCCAACAAACTTATCTGGGGTTCATAGAACGAACAGCTAGTATATTAAACATAGAGGTTAGGCAGTGGTAGCACATGCCTTGAATCCTACCATTCCAGAGGCAGAGATCCATCTGGATCTCTGAGTTCAAGGCCACACTGGAAACAGCGAGGCATGGTGACACACACTTTTAATCCCAGCACTTGAGATCTCATGTCTTGCTTGGGAAAGACACACACCTTTAATTCCAGGAAGTGATGCCAGGAAGCAGAAAGGTATATAAGGCTTGAGGATCAGGAACTAGAGGCTTTTAAACTTTTAGGCTTTTTAGAAGCAGTTCAGCTGAGATCCATTCGAATAAGGACTCAGAGGCTTCCAGTTTGAGGAAACAGGATTGGCTGAGAAGTTGGAAAGGTGAGGTTAGCTGTGGCTTGTTCTGCTTCTCTGATCTTTCAGAATTTACCCCAATAGCTGGCTACCAGATTTTTTATTTAATAAGACCGTTTAGCAATCTGTGTTACATCCTACCTTCATCAGTTACTTTGCCATAGCAATGAGAATATTTTAACAATAATAAAAATTCTAAAACCAGAGCTTTTAGTCTGGGTCATCATCAGTAACTCCGAGTGAGTTTTTCAGATTATGGATATGGTGGTTTGAATGAAAAATGTGCCCCACAAGCTCATGTATTTGAATACTTGGTCCCGAACTGGAGGTGCTGTTTAGGGACTGTGGTTGTCTGAATGTAATTGATGTCCGTAAACTCATGGGGAGTGGCACTATTAGGAGGTATGGCTTTGTTGGAGTAGGTATGTCCTTGTTGGAGGAAGTGTGTCACTATGGGGGTGGGTTTTGAGGTCTCATATATGCTCAAGCCACATCCAGTGTCTCAAACCACTTCCTGCTGCCTGCAAGTCAAGATATAGAACTCTCAGCTCTTTCTCCAGCACCATGTCTGCCTGCAAGCTACCCTGTCGCACCATGATGATAATGGACTAAACCACTGACCTGTAGGCCACCCCAATTAAATGTTTTCTTTATAAGACTTGCCCTGATCATGTCGTCTCTTCACAGCAATAGAAATCCTAATTAAGACAGGGGTGTTAGGTAGTGTGGCCTTGCTGGAGAAATGATGACACTGGAGAAGAGCTTTGAGAGTACATGCTTCACTCTACTTCCAGTTCTGTCTCTGCCTCATGTGTTTGGTTGAAGATATGATCGTGCTCAGCTTCTTGCTCTGGCCGCCGTGATGGATACCTATCTCTTTGGAACTGAAGTCTAAATGAACTCTTCATTCTGTACGTTGCCGTGGTCATGACATTTTATCAAAGCAACAGAAATTGATACTGAGGGTGGGCTGTTGTGAAGAACATGACCACGTTGTTTGGAGGAATGTGGAAGACTTTGGTACTTAGAACTAGAAAAGCAGTTGAGTGCCATGAAGGACTGGTCTAACAGGAGTCTGGATGACAGTAGTCTAGAGCAATGCAATGGGGAAAGATCCAGATTTCATAGGTAGCAAGGAATTCAACAGCAACTGGGCTAGAGGTCATTCTTGTGATATTTTTATAAAGAATCTGGCCACTGCCCTTGTCCCAAGAGCTTACCCAAGGCTAACTTTAAAAGTAATAGAGTAATTTCTTTGGTGGAGAAATTGTAAGACAATGTAATGTTTTGAACATTTAAACAGTGTTAGGACTGTGAAACACTATAGGGTCATTTGGAGTTAGACTAAATGCTTTTTGTTTTTTTATTATTATTATGACATGGTCTTGAGCCTATGGAGACCTGGTAGTGACATGTGGTGATCTCGTGAGCGCTCTCAGCCCCGGGCTTTGGGTCACATCACAAAGCTGCCACATCTGTTTTGGGATTGTCTCTTTGCTGACAGAATCTTCCTTGGCCCTTTGTTAAATTCTAATCTCTTGGCCTGTTTTGTTCAAGAGTGTGCATACTTCAACCCTCTGAGACGCCTGAAGCAGGATGAAAAACAATTCATCTTCAGTTATTCCAAAAGTATATTCTATGACATATTACGTGATTCTCAACACAGGGTGGGAGACAGAGAAGGTTCTGTGGCCACACAAGATTGGGAAACATTGCTTATCAGCCCTTCCTTTGGAAGATTTACCATCGATCATTTTAAAGGCTTTGACATCCTGTAACAAAAAGGCTAGCTAAACTGAGTTTTGACTTCACATTTCCCAGACCCCTAACTGTGGAAACACTCCCTTTATTTTTCTTTTCCAAATTCCACAAATTTGCATTTTAGAGTTTCTACAAAACTCACTGACATCCATCAATCACAGACATCAATCTCAGCTGTCTGTTCTTCTGGTCATTGTTTGTCACGATGGTTGCAACTGTTAGCTGTGTTGTAGAGCAACTTACCTGTCCTTAGTGGCTTACATGATAGTCATTTATTATAGTTTTTCCAAAGTCTGTAGTCCCCTGAGTGATTCTGCAGATGCTTCTTTGTCCTGATTAATCGGAGCTTTGCTTATTCATGTATCTGTAATCAGCTGGTAAGTAGGCTGAAGGCAACTAGTCTAGCCTTCCTACAGTTGAGATGATTCTGCTGTAACCCATACGCCACTCATAGTCTTCTAGAAGGCCACCTGAACAGAATCATGAAGCTGATCTAAGTTTCTGTCATGTTTGTTACAACCAAGTGGCCAGAATAGGTGACTTTGGGGAGCTGAGAATAAGAGTGGGAGGCATGTCATGTCAGGGGGCCAAGTGAGAGGTTATGAGGGACATTAATGGAGGTCATTAGTGATTGGCATCTAGCACGGCTATTAACTGTTAATCTGGGAAGCTGTACCCCAATAGCTTCATCAAAATTAAAGCAGGAGTAGTAACAATGTAACCCCGAGATCCCCATTCCCAACAGGGGACCACAGAAGAGTTGTTACCTATTCTATATGCTGTTTCTGTTGCTGTGCTAAAAAATACCATAATCAAAGAAAATTATAGAAGGAAGAGTTTATTTGGGTTTACAGTTCCAGAGGGCTGAGTCCATCGTGGAGGGTGGCGTGGCAGCAGGTGGTAGGTGGTCAGCGGGAGCAGAAAGCTGAAAGGTTTCATCTTCTACGGCAAGCATGAAGTAGAGTCAATTGGAAATAAGATCAGGCTATGTATTCTCAACTCCTATTTCTCCTCATCCCTAGTGATATATTTCCACCAGCAAGGCCTTACATTCTAAACAGTATACTAATTTGGGACCAAGTGTTCAAACCCCTGAGACTGTGAAGGATATTTCATCATCTCGGTTCATCACAAGATGAACCAAGAACCTGGAGGGCTTTGGTGGTGACTAGTTACCTTCACTGGAATTGTTCTCCTCTGACATGACAAAGGATTCAGATTGCTTCTTTCAGATACATTAGTGAGACAGTTCTCTGTGTCAGCTTTGCCTAACCTACAGTGGCCAGTGGTTTATTTAGACTAGCCTAAATAAAGGGGTCACGGTATTTTGTAGATATATTTAACGCTCATAGCTGGTATATTTTATAACCAGGAAAACAGATTATTCTCCATAATATGAGTGGGTCTGTGGGCTGGGAGGGTCCTTGGGTGGGTCTGTGGGTAGATAGGTCCATGGGTGAGTCTTTCAGAATCCATGAAAGGTGTTAAGATCAGAGGCTGAGATCTCTCACAAAGGAATTCTGCTTCCACACTGCACTTGAAATGATTGCCTGAGCTAATTCTCAGTCTGCCCTGCAGAAATTTGGCTTTGCAAGGCTCCATAATGATGTGAGCAATTCATTAAAATAACTTGCCCCTCTCTGTGTCTGTCTCTGTCTCTGTCTCGCCCCCACTCCCGTGTGTGTGTGTGTGTGTGTGTGTGTGTGTGTGTGTGTGTGTGTGTGTATAAAATTAAGTAACTGAGCATGATGGCATATGCCTTTAATCCTAGCATCTGAGAGGAAGATCTCTGAGTTCCAAGGTAGCCAGAATCACATTGTAAGACCCTATTTCTCTTCCCCTATAAATAAGTAAATAAATGAAATCAAATATAATAAAACTATTCAGAAATTCCACTCTAACTGCCTCTTGTCTTGGTTAGGTAAGCTAGCATTAGGTTCTCCAGATGTCCTGTTTGGTTACCGAGGACTTCTCTGAGCAGCCAGCAAAGAGAAAGCTCATAATTGCATTATCATGATAGACAGCCAAGAGGTGACACTGCTCGTATTCCCCTTTTAAGAGAAGCAGATGTGATGAGTCACCTTGGGTGGCATAGGAACCTTGCAGCTGTGCAGTATTTGTAAGGAACTGACAGTCCCTTACGAGCCACAGCAACCCAACTTGGCAGGGCCCTAGCACCTATTTATGGCCTGAAATACAGGGGAAGAGGTCACAGGAGGTGGTTCTCTCTTCTGGAAGTGAGTCAGACATGATAACACTGCAGGTCAGGGGTGACTCCATGTTGGGTTTACTGCAGCATGTTCTCTGAACAACTTCCTGGGACTGAGCTGAACTACGAGAAACTCTGTGTTAATAATCCAACATCCAGTAAGCTGGAAGAAAAAAATGAAAAATGGGATTGAAAATGGGAGGAAAAGAACAGGAAATGGAGTCCAGCGACTGGAATACAGAACTGGAACAGCACCCAGCAGGCTAGGCGCTCTGTTCAGATGTCCACCTCACAGTGTTGCAATAGCCACCAGAACTAGTTTTTTTTAAAGAAACAAATTATGTGCCAACTGAGCATGGACTTTCTATATTTTATTCAATATCTAGGTCCCAGCATGAGCTTTAAAATATCCACCTAGGGCTGGGCATGGTAGCATAGGCCTTTAATCTCACCATTCACTGGGGAGGCAGAGATAGGTGGATCTCTATGAGTTGGAGGTCAGCCTGGTCTACATAGATAGTTCTCTCTAGGCCAGCCAGAGCTACCTAGAGAGGAATATCTACTTTGGATATAAAGTACTTCACATTTACTTTCCTCTTCCTCTTCCTCTTCTTCTTCTTCTTTTGTTTTTGGAGACAGGGTTTCTCTGCATAACAGCCCTGGCTGTCCTGGAACCTACTCTGCAGACCAGGCTGGCTTCGAACTCATAGAGTTTAAGTTGCCTCTGCCTCCTGGGGTTAAAGGCTTGTGCTACCACTACCTGGCCAGGACATTCTTTTTTTTTTTTTTTTTTTTTTTTGGTTTTGTTTTTTTTTTTCGAGATAGTGTTTCTCTGTGCAGTTTTGGTGCCTGTCCTGGATCTCGCTCTGTAGACCAGGCTGGCCTTGAACTCACAGCAATCCGCCTACCTCTGCCTCCCAAGTGCTGGGATTAAAGACATGTGCCACCTCTGCCTGGCTTAGTCAGGACATTTTTATGAGCAGCAGCTATCTAGGTTAAAACAGGAGAATCATTTACATATAAACAATAGCCCAACAGCAGCAATACAAATTGATATTGCCCATTCGGAGATGAAGTCCACTGGGGTTATCTACTTCCGGACAACACAGAAAGACCTGGTAACTATGGCGTCAACCGGAAGTATATTCAAGGGTTGAGCAGCTGTCCCAGTCAGCCTGGCCGTGGTTCCACTTCTGCCAAAGCCAATAAGACAGCAACAAAAAGCAATGTGTGAGCATTTGAATGTTCTCCAGTGCCTTTCTTGCTTAACAAGAGCCAAACCAGTGGTTTCCTGGTGCAGGCCAGCAAACCACTGATAAGCATGTTGATGAAATTATTAAACATTTAATGTCTAACATCCTGTATCTCCCCTGTGGTTCATTATTTGACTCTCATCCTTAACCATTACAGCTATGGACCTGAACTACATACACTGTTGGCCTTAAATAGGTCCCAAGTCTACTATCTCAACCAACCACACATCAAAAGTATTTGGAAAAAATGCATTATATTAAAGACCAACAGCCTTTCCTTGGCATTATTTCCTAAACAATGCATTATTTCAAGTAGTTATAGAGAACTAATATCCTATTAGGCATTATAAAAGAGGCTATTTAAAATATAAGGGAGAATACACTTAGGTTATATGAAAATACAACACCTATGAGGAATTGAGTATCCTCTGATTTTGTTACCTCTGAAAACTGTCTCTAAAAAAAAAAGACTATTCTCTATTAATGGCTTTGTTTTTATATCTAGGGGCGGGTGGGAAATACTAATTACTACTATAGTGCTGGAGTGGATAAAACTGGGGTTTTGTGATAGAGTGACAGGCTAGAGAAGTCGGTGAAATTGAGACCTGTATTTTAGACGTAGTACTAGGATTCCCCAACAGAATTGATGTATGAAGTATAACCCCATGTACATGAAGTTACCAGCACGTGGTGACTTGGGATTCCTGGATAGAAGCAGACCCTTCAAGAACACAGACATAAAGGACTAGGACTGTACCAAGGCATCACCTAAAAACAGGATACAATGGCTCATAACCACAGTCTGCACTGTTACTTTAACATAACTAGGCACTACTGCCAGCCAGTGGAGACAAGACCTCAAAGATCTTAACATACCTAAAGAAGGCCCATATCAGCCAAGTCAGGGTTTCTCAGACATGGAGGCATATACAAAAAGAGAATCAGAAAGATATAAGCTCACTGTTCTGAGGTATACTGCATGACTTAATCTCAAATTGCATGGCTTGGTTGCATACTGCATGGCTTGGTCTCACACTGCATGGCTTGGTCTCACACTGCATGGCTTGGTCTCACACTGCATGGCTTGGTCTCACACTGCATGGCTTGGTCTCACAAGGCATGGCTTGGTCTCACACTGCATGGCTTGGTCTCACAATGCATGGCTTGGTCTCACACTGCATGGCTTGGTCTCATACTGCATGGCTTGGTCTCATACTGCATGGCTTGGTCTCACACTGCATGGCTTGGTCTCACACTGCATGGCTTGGTCTCATACTGCATGGCTTGGCTGCATCTTGTATGGATTGGTCCTGGAAACCTAACGAGGCAATGAAGGAATAAAGACAGGGTCTATATACAGTAAAGCTGGGATCTGGTGGGCCATGTGTTCTAATGGAAATGCACCAACTACAGCAGCAACAAGGAACCTCAATTTATTTTAAATGTCTAAATCAAGGAGTGAGTTTATTATATACAGCTGAATAAGGAGTAGGTTTACTGGGGTCAGCTGAACAAGGAGGCAGGCTTAGCCAACCTTGGTAGGAGGTCTCTGTAGAGAAACAGTCCCAGAGTATAATCAGCATAGAAGAGGAAGCTGTGGTTGATAGTTTCTGTACACACCATCAACACTGGAACTTAGATTACAGGAAGGCTTTGTCAATTCCCCAAGCCTAACCAGGGGAAGGCCTTGCCATTCACATGGGTCTTAGGCATTGGAGTCCTTGATATGGCCGTGTCCATGTCAACAATACACATTCAATCAGGACTTCATCAGCTCCCACATTGTTCCTTTCTAAATACCACCCAGAGGAAGCAGGCTTTGCCAAATAATTTTAATTATTATGGTCCCATTGGCAGGGCTATGACTACTGTAGGGATTGATAAAGGGAATTGGAGCCAACTGATTTCAAGCAGCCTAGACCTTTTGCAATGCAGGCCTTATTGCAGAGATGGATGCTGATTGCTTGGCAAGTACACAGGCACAAGGAAAACCTGGCTACTGCAATCACAAGCAAATGGCTATTAATAGGAAGAGTAGGAGCTGAGAATAAAAGGGCACACATTGGGAAATCACTGGTCCCTGCCAAGGTGCAAGAATTGTGGTCAAACTGAAGTCCTTCCTTCTTTGGAAATGTAAACCCTTTTAGTATTTTTTTAATTAAAGGGCAATAAACCTTGTCACACACCAAATTTTGGATAACAAAGGACTGTAATGAATTTTCTTCAACCTTGGCTCTGGGTAGCAAAGAGCCTAGTAGATTGTTCTCCATGGCTAAAATATCAACATTAAATTTTGTTAGTTCTTGCATAATTCAATTAAAGAAAAATATTCTTTGAAAATGGTATCCCATTGACTGACCCTAGAAAATATTTATTAAATGTCTGCTAATGCATGAGATTTATCAAGGTTCTGAAAACAAACCATTCCACCTAAGTAGATATTTCAAATGATTGACTGAAACCAGCAGGCATGCTAATACTTCAAGAATACTGACAAAAGCAATCTAAAAACTGATTTTAATTTTTCCTGCACTCTTAGGCAATTGGCATGGAAGATTTAGATGTATAACTGAATATGAGTAGCCATAATGTTCTCAAAAACTACTGACTTCATAGAGGAACAGACCTTAGCACTAAATGGCTGGTATTAAAAATAAAATTAGGACTTTTCCCCCCTCAGGTCTCTCTCTTTGGAGTAACCACTTTCTCTTTTGACTGAGGCTGGTGTGTAGCTGGAGTTTTCTCCAGTCCCACCCAGGCCCACAGCTGCTCAGACCCAAATAAACACACAGAGGCTTATATTAATTAAAACTGTATGGCCTAATGGCTCAGGCTTCTTGCCAGCTAGATCTTACATCTTAAATTAACCCATTTCTATAAATCTGTACCTTGCCACATGGCTCGTGGCTTACCAGTATCTTTACATCTTGCTTCTCATGGTGGTAACTGGCAGTGTCTCCTCACTCAGCCTTCCTGTTCCCAGAATTCTCCTCTCTCTTTGGCCCGCCTATACTTCCTCCCTGGCTACTGGCCAATTAGCACTTCATTTATTAACCAGTCAGAGCAACACATTCATAGCATACAGAGTGATATCTACAGCACTGGTGTCTTCTGTTTTATTAAGGTGCTATGGGCTGAACTGTGTTACCCCACGTCCATGGAGTAGGGTTGGAAAGCAAAGTGATGGCATTTGCACATGGGACCTTTGGAAGGTAATTAGGACTGGGTGAAGTCACAAAGTCAGTCCCATGCTCAGTTAGGACTCTCACAAGGTCAGACTCAGAAGAGCTTGCTCTCTGTCCATGTTCTTCCATAAATGAAAGCCCATGCAAGAAGGCTGTGAGTTGGCAGTCAAGAACTGATTCCTTGCAATAATTAAATCAGCTAGCATCTTGACCTTGGCCTCCAGGCTCTGGAACTGTGAAGAGTGAATGTCTGTGGCTAAAACTACTTGTCCCATGGTATTAGTTATGCCAGTCTGAGCTGACTTGTCATGGGGCAAGCATGGTTCCACTTGTGGAATTCACTGCTTCCACTCAGCTATGACCTGCTTGACAAAACTCTGCTTAAATTAAATAGTTCATTGTGATCTCCAGTGCTATTTCTTTTGCTTTGACTGCTGAGAGAGTCTTCATTACCTACATTCAAACTCCAAAATAAACTTTGATATTTGGAGTTTCATTATTCATATTTGTTTTGGGCAGTTATAGTTGAAAGTGCTTAATAAAATGAACAGTGTAGGTTATAACTGTTGTAGTATTTTGCCTGAATTTAGTAAAAGGAGATCAGACTTCAATATCCCTCACATCTGAATTAAAATAAAGATCTTAAAGTACTCTTCAACTCAAGGAAGTAAGAGTTCCCTTTGAGAAAATAGGGTGGCAAGGTCTAGATGGATGAAAGACTCACAGGAAACAAAAACAAACAAACAGAACAAAACACAGAAAGTGATATATAGCATTTTATTCAGGGATAGGTAAAAAGATAGTTTTAGTTGTTAGTCCTTCCTGAGAATGTGTGTGTATTTGGGAGCACAGGACTCCTGTGGCTAATGCAACTTTAAAGTAACAAAGTAATTAGCATGCAGGGCATCAAGCCTACTATTACTGGGGCTGGGTGTCACAAGAAGGGTAAATTGCAAACGACTATTATTCCCAGAGTAAATAATGTGACTTCTGGTCAGTTTTTGGCATTTGTTGGCACTGGCTGTAGGAAAGGGCAGCTAGAAGGGTGCAGGGGACTTCCTCCCTTTAAGCAGGTTTTCTATGAATTTTAGCAAAGTGTTCAATACCAGGTCCCATAAAAGAATGGGGTCAAGGAATACCTGATGAGTCCTGCTTAGGAGAGGCAATTTTAAGATTACCGATGGCTAATAAGGCCCCAAGGAGGGGGAAATGCATTTTGCAAGTAATGACTCGTTATTTCATGTACACTTAATGCAATGTATACATTATGAGGGTTCCCGGATGTAAGGGAAGGAAGGAAATAAAACTTAGTTATAACGCAAATAAAGGAAGCATTTACTGATTTCAACTTCCACCTTTGGCACAGAGCCGAAGGCGTCATGTGGGGAATGTGTGTCAGGAATACAAATACTCTCGGGGCCAGGTGCCAGAACTTTAGGAGTGGCAATCAGAAAGTGAAAAGTAAAATGTAAACAAGGAAGGAAATGGCATGACTCTCTCTTGTCACAGCGTTCCCATCAAGAAGCATAGTTACATGTCCACGATCTCTCTCCCAGGAATATTTTATAACCTGCCCAAGCACAGTGGCTCACATACATTAGGGCAGCTAGTAGATGTTTGTGCAAGACACAAGCTTCAATTGTCATGCAGTTCTGAGTACTCATACCTAAATCTTCCTCGTAATCTAGTAATAGAGAGTGCATTATTCTTCCTAACATATGGTTGAGAAAGTAAAACACACGAGGTCTTGTTCTTTGTTCTCTAGTGAACGGCTACCAGAGGACTAACTCAGATCCGTGAGCAAACTTAATGCTTTCTCCATCTACCAGGTCAAGAGAGCAAATACAGAACAGAAAATCATGCTGATCCTATAGCATTTGACTTGAGCACAACCTCCCAACCCCATATAATTAGCCACAAATAATCCATTCCGGAGTAACCAGTGTCATACTCTACCTTCCATCTCCTAACTTGTTTCAAGCCCACCCTGCCCCAAAGGACAAGTGACACCCTGGCTCAGAAAGAGCTATTTATTATACTGGCCATCTTGTGTCCTTATTCACCGAAAAATTATGGAATAGCTCACTAGCTTTTTGACTAATATTCTTTGCACAGCTTTCAATCAGCCGTCGGTGAGTAACACTGGAAAAGACAAGGCTTGTTTACAATGAATGACAGGGTAATTTCCCATGAGGTTCCAGCTTATGGACCAGCAAGCTTAAACATGTTAAGTGAATTTGAAAATGCCACCACATCAAATCGTCTGAAAGTGTTTTCAAGCTTTGAAGATTTTCCAAGATACGCACAAGAATGGCAAAGCTATGCATATGTATTGTTAGTTGGACTGAAAATAATTTAAAGGGTAACTTTACATGGAGATCCTGGACAAAGATTTTACCCCCTAAAATTTCCTAGTCCAAGTCTCTGATCCTCCATGATCTGGATCCCATGTGGACTGTTTTCTGAGCTACTCTTCCACACTTTCCCCATAGCCTGACTTGCCCCAGCTCTACTCTAAGAGACAGAGATTCAGGGATCCTTTCTTTATTCAGTTTCTTTGACATTCTCCTTTAAATCATTTAGTTTGACAAATAGCATGTGTCTTTGTGATTTCTCATAGGAAGCAGCCTTTATCCCGTGTCAAGACAATCTTCTCCCTGAGGATAATAAGGAATCTCCCATGCAAAAGTACTCTCATACTACAGCAAAATCTAAGCAGTGGGTGAGTAACCACCCTAGATCTTTAAGGTAGGGTCAAATTAGGAAAAACTGGTCAACAGTGACTGAAGAATTAAAAAGACAAAAGGAATATGTCATTACCAGGGCATCCTCCCTTCCTAAGACTGAAATGCCTGTGGGTCAGTAAAGGGTGCAGAGAGGAACCACTGGAGACAGTTTCAGGGAACAGTGTCTGCTTTATCATATGTGAACACTACTTATAGAGTGGAAGCCTGTGGACTGTGATTGGTTAGCACGTTACCTCAGACTGGACAGTGAGCATTCATACCACCAGGGTCTCTTAGCACATAAAAGGAGACGTGAAGAGTGCACACTCATCAGCAGGCCAGCTACTGGCTACTACTCACACTACTTCAGAATTCAGTGTTCTGACTACTGGGAGTACTCACAGCAT